GACGTTACAGTCAAAGCAATCATGAACTTCTCGCTTGTTTTCCATAAACCCAAGTTTGAGATAACGTAAAACTTATAAACCTACGTTTGAACCAGATGCACATTAAAAAAAAAAAAAAAAACCACTCACACACGCACTAACAAGGTTAAAGCGAGAAAAAAATATTTTAAAAAGTAAAACTAAGTTACATATAAATTATTATAAATTTAAAAATTTAATTACAGAAAAATATTTTAATATTAAATATAATTTTTAAATTATAACAAAAATTTATGTTTGTAACTGTTTGAATTAATATTTATAATTTATTTGTAAAAAAATTTGTCGGGAATTTAATTAATATTAATTTAATATTTTGAAAGTTAATTATAATTTAAAAAAAAGACAAAGTTGGAAATTTCATGTGGGTTCAAGTTATGCGACTATTGATGACAGTTTTAAGAAAAAGATCAGTTGCAATTATGGGTGCCAATTGGTCGTATATAGAGGGAACCCCCATCTTTAAATTTTACTACGTAGTACGCACTCTGCAAAGAATGTCGTGCCTCCCAAATACCAAGTTGGATGCATTATTTCTGTAAACTTCTTTAAAAAAAAAAAAAAAAAGGCTCGCGGTCTCACGTTTTATTGTTTGCATCAACTGAATTAGAAGGAACATGCAAGTGATGGAACAAGAATAGTAATTTTAAAAATAAAATAAAATTAAATTACCTTTCTCTTATAGTAAACATGACAAAACTCTACAATATTATATCACAACATGTAAGCCTACAAAACTTAAGAGCTGTTTCATTCCGTTTTTATTCTTTCTCGCAACCAAACAGTTCTTAAGTTTCATGTGGCTCTTTTTTTTTTTTTTTTAAAAAAAAAGAGAATAATTCCTCATGGCTTGTAATCCATTCCTGTTAAAATAGATAAATCGCAATTCATGGTTAAAAAAATTTATAGATGGAGTAGGTAATATTGTTGGAAGGAGAGAAAAATGAGAATAATTATGGAAAAATTGGGATCTTAGGATGCGAGTATTGTTATAACATCGTAGGATCATAGGATTAAGGCAAGGTTGCCTCCTTTATTCTATCACCAAATCTGCAATATTTGTCCTCTTCTAATTTTCAAACATTAATTACTTATTATGGTGCTATGTGTAAGCCTCTTCTAATTTCTTTATCAGTACCGTAATTAAGAAGACATAATTAAATTATTTCATCATTTTTAATTTAAAACACTTTCTTTTTTATATAATTATTTATCCTGCTCAAAAAATCATGAAAAAGTGAAATTATGAAAAGGCAAAATTAAAAAGAAAATAATTAATGAATTTTTATAAGACTAGGGGCCAAAATACTATAAAGAATTCAAGCCTAAACTTCAAGAAATATTTACATTGAACGACATTAATTAAATCAAACCGTGAGAAGAAATAATAAGTAATTTTCGAAATCATTAATTCCGAACAATTCATTTTGTGTGTGAGTGTGTGTCTAGTGAACATTTTTATTGGCGGATTTTGTTTTCAAGATGAGCCCAAAAAGGCGAAATAAGGGAGTTCAAAAGTTGGTGCCAAAAAGTAGAAGCAGGAAAGATGTACTATGTATCCACTGAAATTTGGAACATCTGTAAAGTATAAAGTGAATTTGTAAATTTTGAAATTTCAAAAATGTATAAAGTTAGGAAATAGCCTCCGCTCACTCTCATATCATCTCACCGCAATTACTGTGCTCGTATTATTTTTTTCTGGGCACATGCACGCACCTAACAATGCTGGCTAGCTTTTGATTTGGGGTATCCTCTTCTCACGGCATTCGTAAAATTATAGCATCCCAATTTCACATCCTATTGATATCCTCTCCCTCGTGTAATGATAGAGTTAGGATCCTGAGTCAAAAACAATGACAAAGTTAAAATTCTTGAAACAAGAAAGATCTTTATGTTTCTTTTAAATTCACTATTTTTTTCTTTTTTTACTTTTCTTTACTTCTCAATTCAATTTTCAACTATACACTTATAAGTGTAATGAATTAGTAAAAAATATTCAACCAGTTTATTCTTAAATTTTGAATCTTCATTCATCATTGTTTTTTTTAACTAGTTTCCAAGTAATATTTAGAACAAGAATGATATAAGTCTAATTTAGTCAAGTTAGATTTTTTTCTTATTTTTTAAAGGATTAATAAATAATATTGGTATTTAAATATAGTAAAATTGTGGGCTAATATTTATGAGGTTTTGAGTTAAAAAATTGAATAGATTTGGACTAAAAAAGTAAGATTAAAATAGATTTAAAATTTAAAATATGAAAATAAGGGGCACAAAGTATAACAAGTAGATGGTGCAAGTTGTAAAATATAAAAACTTATACTTCAAACAAGTCATTTTTTTCAAGTGAGATGGGCATAATTACATGCAGCTCCACCACTATCCTCATGCCTTGCACAGTCTCTAAGAAAATAGAGCATGGCTAGTTATGATTTATAAAGCAGGTAATTTGTTAGTTGGTATATTGCACATACATGCATATTCATGCAATTTGTAGTTCAAGCCACTTACACAATCTACAATTGGTAATCTGGATGGATCAAGCTTTTCAGGCGGGCTTGAATGAGTTTTTAATTATTATATTCATAAAAAATATTTGTAACTTTAAAAATGAAAGATAAGCTTTTATTGTATCTATTAATTAATCACTCATTGCCTCTCTCTTAATGTTTCTCTTCGTTCATTTGCTGCATCTTCATCCTCTTAATACTCCTCCTCCAATCACCCTGTGTAGGCATTGGAGTCAACCCTTGAATCCAAACGAGTTTGGCCCAAACTTTTTTAGCATGTTTGGCCTAAGTTGAAAATTCTAATTATCATAAAAATATAAAGTTGATTTTTCTTAAGCCTGATTCTAACATTTTTTTTCAAAGACTAATTGGAATTGGCTTGTTGAGTTAGGCCTGAGTTTCTGACTCTGGTCCTGAACCCTCAAACACCACATTATGTGGACTGCCCCATCAAGCAATCACAATGGCTTGTGTTTATTGCCCCATGAAAGAAATCGCATTGGCTCATTCAATTTTCGATCAATAATTAAGTCTCTCCTCTTCACCCACACAATTCTATCAACATTTTACTGTGTTTAGTATTTTCTTTGCGCATGCACGCAGAAGGCTCATTCTATCTTTAAAATATGAGTAACATTCAAATCACATTATAGATTATATTTGAAAATTAAAAAAAATACAGAAACTTATCATGCAGAATCCATGTAAGAAGCAATAAATAGGGGTCCACCTCAATAACAACAGCAGTAGGTAGGAAATATTGATATACTTTTTAAAACTTGTTGGGCCCAATGTTGTAGGCCTGTAGCACAGAAATTTTGAACTGCCCACAGCAAGGCGCAAATGTAGTTGAAAGCTTTCATTTTCATCCATATGTTGGTCTTAACATTGATGAGAAATATGGATATAGCATATTTTGCACCGAACAGATTAGACTTGTAAATAACAATAACTAAGCAGCTTAACAGTCAAACAAAGAAGAAGCAATTTCTGGAAAGAAAATTCAAAATACGTAACAGCATTGGCGGCGAGGGGAAATGAAGGTGAGACCAGGGACATATCTTGAACATTTCATTTGTTTTTTTTTTTTAGGGGGGTGGGGAATGAATTTATCTGAAAATGTGGCGCTAACATTGATTTTAACATTTTTTTAACAAATGAAGATAAACATATTTACAAGAAAGCTATGTAGCATTCATTGAATCCGTCAATGGGTCGAGAGTAGTTGGATCTAGATTCCATTTCAAGTTGAATTTAAACTTTAATTTCTGTGTGCGCGCGTAACAATGTTTTTGCACCAAATTTTCTTTCCGAGGTACATTGCAATTTGGACACTCTTTGGATATTGGTTTGCAAAGTGACAAGCCTAATTTGGTATACAAAAATTTATGTGAGTTAGTTTTTAAAGACGGGCTTGGCTTTGCTCTGCTGAGCAAATGCCCCCCTGCAATTCTGCTGAATTTTGAGAAAAATCTGGACCGTCCATATAAATGTGGATGGTCCATATTTAATGTTTTAATGTTTATTTTATATTTTATATTTTTTTAAAATAAAAAAAATTATAAAAAATTTTAATAAATCTGATCAACAGTCTGAACATTTTAAGTTCAATATGAATAGTCCATATTTATAAAATTTTTCAATAAATCTAATAGTAAATTTGGACAGTTCATGTTTAATATGAATGATCGAAATTTAAAAAAAAATTAATAAATTTAATCACTAGATTGGATAGTTTAGGTTTAATATGGATAGTTTGAACTTGAAATTAAAAATTTATAAAAACTATGAAATTTTTTATATTAAACCTACACTGTCCAGAGTATATTTAGATAGTTAGTTTATAAAAATTTTAAAGTTAAATTTAGATTATTTATATTAAAATTGTTGTTCAAATTGGCGATCATATTTATCAAATTTTTTATTTTAATAAACATAAAAAAAATTAAAACATTAAATCTGAACCATCTACATTTATAGGTCCAGATTTTTCTCAAAATTCAGTAGAGCTGAAGAGGCATGTTTGCTCAGCAGAGTAAAGCCAAGTCCCTTAATGACTCACTAGGATCAAGACATATTTTTACTTTCAGAGAGCGTTTATAAAAGTACTTACAAATTATTTATCAACAAGATTCTTACAGCAGAATTTGATCCACAACTTTTTGAATTATGAGATTTTTTTAATAAATTACGAGTTAAATTTTTATTAATTAGTTCAATTTTTATTAGTGATAAACCTAACTTTGATAACCAGACTTGGGTCAATCGTCTCCCAGTTAACTCGGCCCAAAAACTTGCACATTGCTTTTCTTGGACTAGTTTTGAAAGGGCCCATTAAATTTTAAAAAAGCCCCAATTGACTGACCATCAATTAGGCTGGGGCTGACGTAGACACAAAAGCTCTGCCAACTGACATGTGACATGAAGTATAATAATAGTTTTTTCCCTGTATATAATTAGGACTATTTTTAGTTGGGACTGAGTAAACCCACGTCAAGGAAATTTAATGTCTTTCTTACTGAGTTCAGAATTTAGGCCAGACTATTTACTGGTAGGAACCGACATGTCCTTGATCCATTTAAAATCTCTCCTGACAATGAATGATGCAGGTGGCAGAAGAATCAAAGCTTTGATTTAACTTCCTTCGCCATACCATCAGCATATTCATGAGATTGATCATCCATAGCGTTCTCACTCGTGATCTTCTCCACCAGAGAAAGGAACCTGTTCATGGCTTTCCTTGGCAGCAATATGGGCACCACAATGCCATCCTGTCCTCTCGTATTCTTGAACGCAGCATAGAAGCTAACACATGGTATAGCTCCAGCAGGTCCACCATATACTACTTTTCCCCACCCAAAATCCACCTCGTAAAACCCCACACGAGTCGAATCAGCCACAAGATATTCCCATTCCTTCTATACATAGGACGCCCCTTGAGCACTATAAGATCAGCCACGGAGCTCATGTACTCTTTGTTCATCTGTGCTTTAGCCTCTCTGATCAACTCCAACGCGTAGCCCATTGGGTTGTTGCAGATCAATCCAGCATCTGATATCGCCGTCGGGAAAGCAAAAGCATTCCCATAATACCCATCAGGCAAGTCTAGGCTTTGTTTTCCTCGAGCTGTGATAAAAGGTGAAATAGACACAATCTCGCTGGGTTTCAGGTCAAGCGCTTCAGTGCGGCATTTCCACAAACACGCAGTCAGCAACTCGAAGGTGGAGCAATTCCGAAGGCGACGAGTGAGACGATTTCGAAGCGAGAGAATGTGTTTGGGGCCAAAGAAGAAAGATTCATGGACTGTTCGGCTATCGGGAAGGGAATCCAAGTTTTGTTGGTCAGGCTGCGAAGAAGTGGGTTCGTGGTATTCGTGATGAAGGCAAGTGATGCGAGGTGGGTGTCGTGCAGACAAGAGGTCTCTGTGCCAAACAGGGATTTTAGAGATCGGAGAGTGAGTTGCGCATTCAGAGGCCATTTTGAGGAACTGAACGAGGCCAAGTGTATCGCAGATTGTATGATTCATCCACACGCCCAACACAAATCCTCAGCATGCAAGACGAGTCACCTGCCAAATATAAACTTGCATGTCAACGGAATTTGGATTCTTTTTTATGTTTTCATTTAAATTTCAATTAGGTATAATAAATTATAAAAATAATTGATTAAATGATAAATTTTAATTATAATTAATTATATTATAATATAGTCTGTTTAAATATTTATACTAATAATTTTTTTAAAGTTCTAAATTTTACTGAAAAAAAGAGAAAAAATTTTGTTTTAGTTTTATTAAATTTTGTACCTTTTTTATAATTTTTTTCTTAGACTTTTCATGTAATATTTTCATATAACTTTGTAAACACAAAAGCTGAGAAGCTGAAACTTGGAACTTTAGGAAAAAATTAATTTTTTGAGAAAAATTTGATTTTGGAAAAAGATTGGTGTTTGGATAAATTATGGATTAATTAATTTTTTTGCTTCTAAAATCAATTAATCCCTCAATCCGAACAAGCACTGTATCGTTTCTCAATATATTTTTTTCATATTAATCTCATTTACACATTTAATTATTCAATTAGTTTAATAGTATAAGATTGTTAATTATAACATTAAAATAAATATAATATTCATTTAATGTTTATTATTAATAAACATTATAATCTTATTTTTCAAAATATTTAAATGTTGATAATGAATAACTTATTTATTTTAATAATATATTATTTCTTGTATATACTCATTTTAAATTTTATCTTTTTGTACATATGCGTCCTTGCATCAATTTCAACATTATCGTCCTCATCAATAATTGAGAAAAAATATCAAGGGTAAAAATTATATTTCCCCCAAAAATAATCAATGAATTTAAAAATACTAACTCATTTTATATAGTTTTATAGTATAACCCAAGGCGGCAAGGCCAATTGAGATAACAAGAATATGGTAGGATGCAAATCCATAGTTTGGTAAAAATGCTTTGTTATCTGAGAATACGGTAAACAAAAAAGAAAGAAAGCTTCCATTATACTTATTTGAATTCCTTTTTGAAATTATTTAAAATGATTTCTTTCCAAAAAAAATTTAAAAAAAAAAGCTGAAGCTAACAAATCCTGTGTACGGTACATTAATTTTCAAGTATTTTCATGAATAAAAAAAGTTGTAAATTTTTAAAGCCTACCCTTTTAAATTTTTTTAAATGTTGGCATATTATTGATATGATGCTAAATAAAAAATATATATGCTGTAAATTTATACTTTAAGTATTTTTATGGATTTTAGTTAATCATAAATATATTATTGTTCATGTCTAGATAATCACTCATAAATATTCAAACATCACTTATTCACACATTAAAAAGTTGTAAATTTTGGTTAATCAATATTTAGTATAATATTGATACTATGTCAATAAGAATATGTTAAAATCCATAGTTATTTTGGTAAAAATGCTTTGTTATCTAAGAATATGGTAAAAAAAATGCTTCCATTATACTTTTCTGAATTCTTTTTGAAATTATTATATCATTATATTTACTTTGTTATCTAATCATTTAATCACCTTCCGAGGGCTATAAAATTATTTAAAATGATCTCTTCTTAAAAAAATATTTAAAAAAATCAAAAGCTGAAGCACCAAATTCTGTGTACGGTACATTAAAATTCTTTGGGCAAAAAAAAAAAAATTGGCCGCCTTAGGTATCAGTCTCCATCCGTCCCAGGCCCGGCCGTTTGGACATTCAGGACCGTGTCTGGCTACCAGAATGAGTCCCTAATTCTTGAGTCCCCACGCAGAGACACAGACAGATTATTGTTGCCGGTGTCTAAAATTCAACCCTTCATTCACGAGAATTATTAGATAAAATTGCTCTGACAAGTAAGGTTGAGATTATGAGTATTAGATAACGAAGACACTAGCGACTAATGAACAGGTGTGAAGGATTTACCTGAAAGAACAAGAGAGGGCATCCAAGAATGTGTTGAGAGGCAGGCAAGGGAAGAAGAAAGTGATTGAGATAAGGACATGGTGGCATATAATTTCATCCCCAAGCTCCATGAGCGATATATCAGCTTCAGCTTCCACGAACAACACACCCTCTCCATTGCACTCCACCACCAGCTTTCTGTTCGCTACTTCTCTGAGTCTGCCTGCGAGTGGATAGTAATACACCAGTGCTTCGCTTATTGCCTCTTTGATCACCAAAGCAGGGTCGTCCTTCGATTTTGATTTCCTTCCATGGAAGAACATCACAAGAGGAAGCTGAAATCGAAGGCCCTCTTGGTCGTCTATGTCTGATAGCTTCTTGGTTTCATGCGGGGTTGGTTTTGCAGGCACCACCAGTTCTGCCTCACTGTGCCTCGTGCAAAATTGACCCCCAAACTTCCTCACTTCCGTATCTGTTTGTGCTCTTTTGTGAACCTCTCGCATCAAACATGGAAGGACACACGCATATATATAGAAACTTTGCAGTTTGCATTCGGTGCTCATCGCAAGTGAAATATAATAAATATAATATAATAAACATATTTATTGAAATTTCAAATTTTTTATTTTACTAAATATAATATTAAAAATATTTAAAAATTAATTTAAATGAATGATAAAGGTCAATTCGGGTTAAAATAAAAGGCTAAAATTACTCCTAATTTTAATGAGCTCATCACAATAATAAGCACTGAATGTAAACACATTCTTCCATGATGTTTTAATTTATAATGAGTATCGAATGTGATCGTATCCTTATGTGATGTTTTAACCTCATACCCTCTCTGCATTAAATTCACGTGCAACTAGGGCATTGAAAACTAAACCAATTATTGTTGGAGACTTTTAGTTTTTCCCCAGAAGCAGTGTTTGGCTTGGCAACCTTGTATGCACGAGAAAGATAAGTGTGTGGGAACGGGACAGAGGGTGTGGAATGTAGATAAAAGATGGGTTTGGAAACAGAGATGTTGATAAAAAATATTTTTTAAGATTTAATCATCATCTTTTTTTTTTAAAGTACCTCTATCGAATAGATCACTCTATATTTTTTAATGTGAAACATCCTATTAGATAGGGATAAATATAAAAAGATAAGACTAGTTTAAAAATAAATAATTTTTTTATCGAGAGTAAGATTCGATATAAAAATATCTTATATTTTTAAATAGATGGAGTAAATAAAAAAATCTATAAAAAAGGTGGGACCCAATCAAGATAGTGATATGAATGTGATAAATGAAAAGGGGAGAATGACGCATGGAGCTATGAAGTTAAAGAAATTTTCAAGACCTACAAATAACAGAGTATGTGTATATAACAATAATTTACAAATTTCTTAAGGGTATGAATAATAAAGCGTTCCTATATAACATCTCAAGATCCATATATTAATAAAAATATAAAACAATGTCCATTCATAATATGTAGTCCATGTAATCTAATTAAATAATACTATATAAGTTTTTTAGGTATAATGTGAATGACTAAATGTCTGAATATCACATGACACAGTTTAAACATTAGTAACATAATATTTGTTCATCATACATAATCTATATGGTTTAGTTGAACAATAATATACAAATATTTTTTTTAGTATATGAACAACAAAATATTTATATATAACATAATAATATCCTTCCATTAACAAAATAATCTCCTGCATATGATATTACTTTTTAAAAGGAAGGCCAAATAAGTCCTTTCATCATAAAATATATTTGTATGTAAGGTTTTTGGGCCTGTAGAGTAAATTAAAAATGTATAGCACCTTATATGCTATTTTTTTTTTTTTTGGATCTAGAAGCTCAAGGTACCATTCTCCCAATGAAAAACTCAAAAAGAATTAGAAGAATGTGCTCAATTTTGTGGTCCCGTGAACGTGACATTGTGACTCTTTGCTTTGCCACTGTTTTCTGATTAGAATACCTATCCTCTCCTTCACACTTGGCTGTTGGCCCTTTCACAGAACAATTTTAATAAGAACCACATTGAAAACTCTGTTAATTTTGAGCTAGAGTTAGTAAATTGTAAATTTTCTATGATTCTAGTCAAAATATTGCAACTACCTTATAATAAAGATTAGATGGAATAACTTCAAGAAGGCAAATGCTCCCTTTTTAGTAGCAACTCAGGCAAAAAAAAAAAAATCATTGCACGCAAAAATCAGGATACGTGTACTATTTTAATTTAATTTTTTATCTGGGGAAATAGATAAAATTTCACAATTAAAAATCATACTTTTTTATTCTTTTTTAAAATCAAACAAGAGAAAAAGGGAAGTTGAGATTAATAACCATATTCCATGTGGTGAGTACAACCTAGAAACAGAGTACCACGAAAACAAATCAAGCCTCACACCTACCGAAGTACAAAACGGCTATTATCTTATTTTTCTGTTGTTTGAAGTTGACTTCAACATTCTCAACGGCTATAGTTTTAGAACAGTATGAAAGGAGAAGGAAGAAGATTAAAATATATAGAATAAATCGGTCATTTGTTAATTTGTTCATGAGTTTTTTTTTTTGCCAATTATTATTTTCATGAAATTCGATCCTTGTTTCCAAAGTCATGATTTATGCGAACGCACAATAAAACAAAGTTAGGTGTGTTGGGTTTAACGAATCTACGAAATCTAGGCTATGTTTCCGTGCTTTAAAAAGTGTTTATACAAATACTTACTCAACTTGACCATAATGAAAGGCATAATTTAGTGTGTGATAGTTTGTGTGTGATTGAATTGTGTTTGGAAAATTAAATTGTATTTGAAAAGTATATTTTTGTGTTTGGAAAATTAATTGACAAATGAGATGATATGTATGTATATGTTATGTTGGTATGAAACCATGTGTTCAGGGATATGAAAATTACTCAGATGTGTTTTCTTATTCAAATGTACTTGCAACATGCATGAATTGTCTAGTTTTGAAATGTGTTTGTTGAAATTTTGTTTGAAAATTATCTACCTTGTGATAATCCCTCATTAGATTCAATGAATAGCTAATAGCCTAAACCAACTTATCTTGGCCTAGTGTGTTGGTTCAGGGCACAATTTATGAAATGATAGAAAGTGTAGTCATGCAATCTCATTGTTCAATAATTTGGATAACATGTGTTTGGAAACATTTTGCATGCCCTACTTAACAATCTCTTAGTTAATTGCATTACATGTATCATTACATATTAATTTTGATCATTGAAACCTCTGTACCTCATTACTCGTGGGTACAATTTTTATAGGAAATGATTTAGCCGGAAAAGCACCTTAGATGTAGGTAGTGTGTATGGACACCATTAGTGTAGTTAGTGCTTTTTTTTAATTCGATAGGTTGTGTGTATTTGCCAACCATAAGGCATGATTGATCTAAATGAGCAAGTAACCCCATATTTTGATTAAACTCATATTTGGTTATGATGAGATATTTTTTGGCAATCATGGCTATATTTTGATGTGATTAAATTGAAAGTTTGCCCAAAAGGGAGTGAATTAGGCTATATAAAATTTTGGCTAATAATAATAAAATTAAGAAGATGACTTTAGAATAATATCACCAATCACAATAAAGAGTAAGGAAGATAAATTTGCTTAGATATTTATCTCGATTCACCTCCAACCACTTGAGCCTATATCTAATTCTCAAATATCATTTGAGATTTTCTCCACTAACTCCATTAAGATAAATTCGGGCTTTTGGTAGCCTCAATACAATCCTAAAATCACACTATAATCTAAATCACTCTTCCTTACAAAGGTAACGATATTAAAATTCTCTATCTTGAGAATGAAAAATAGAGATAAAAAGAGTAGGTTTAAGAATGAATTACTTCTATCAAATACTCTCTTTAAGAGTTGATATACAATTCATAAAACTCACTAGTAATGAATAGAAACTTATAAAGTTGGTAAACAATAAAAAGTAACTCGTGTAGCTCGTTCGTGTCGTTCTTGTTCACCGTCTTCATAAATGCTTCAATTAATAATTAGAGTTCATAAATAATCCGTTAAACATATGAATATAGTAGGTAGAGTCATCATCTTGTAGAGTCATAATCTTTTCTCCTATAAACTTTCTCCAAAATGAGGCACTGTAATAATGCTTTACAATAGAGCTTTCTCTCTCATAACAAGTAAGGAAAATAACATCTATTTGTATTGATATTCTGATAACGTAGGAGAGAGACTATTTCAAAAGAAAGAAGCTTCTTGGGACTAAAGATTTTTGGAATAAGATCAACAAGTGTTTAATCCAACCCATATTTGTGTTTACAATGATTATAGGATAATTAAATAACTGACCTAGCTCTTAGAAAGTGAAAAGAAAAGGAATGGAGGGAGTTTTGATTTGCTCTGCTACAAATGTGAAAAACATACTATTGTTCATCTTGTTGATTTTTGAAATAAGTGAGCTTATTTCAAAACAGTGAAGAACAACTTCAATGAGAATATTAAGTAGGTTATTTTGAAATAACAAACTAGTATCAAAAAAGATTTACATATACATTAATCTAAAGTTCATTATTTGGGAATAAGTAAAGTTATTCTCAAATAAGTTACTCCTGTATAAGATATTATGCAGTTACGCATTGAAAATAGCTTAAAGAAAAAAACTATTATTCCTGAATAAGCATAACCATTCCCAAATAAACTATTTCTGAAGGCTAAAGAGAGAATATTTGGGAACAAGAAACATACATAGGAATGAGCTATTTTCGAATAAAGGATGCTTATTTTAGAATAAGGACTATTTTATAGAAAATTGACAAAGACTTTTAGATTTTGGATGTTGATTCTAAGTTTACTTAAGACAACTTTCAAGCAATACAAGATATTTATAAAGAATTAAAATACTTTAAGAATGAATACGAGAGGTGTTTAAGTGTTTCTTGGCTATTTGGGAATAAAACACTTACTGGGTAAGAGTGTCTATTTGGGAATAAGAGCAAAAGCCAGAATTTTAAAACAAAGATAGCCAATTCCTTTACTGGCCATTAATTCATAATTATTAATTTTGTAAAATACAAACTTCTCTTATTTTATTATCATTAAAATTAAGGTCCAACATAAATTCTTTACAATGAATTTCAAATAAATCATTAGTGTAGGACAATTGATGATGTTTTTATCATATAGTTATGTTGGATGATTATAACCCAACTATAAGATTTTAAGTCTTGTGAATGAGCTAGCATGTTAAAATTGCTATTTGGCATGTGTGTGTGTGTGTGTGATGTTTTTACCATATGATGTTGAAGTTGGGTTCAAGGAATTTACCCGATTTAGGCTATGTATTTGTGCTCAAAAAATGTTTATAAAAATACTTATTCCCTCGATCATAATATAAGATGTCTTTCAAAAACTTTACCTGATTCAAAATATAGAATATTGAATAACTTTGATAATTTTTTTAACTATACTGCTACTTTATTTATTATTCTTTTTAAAA